TAAAACATTTGAAAATGTAGATACAGACCTGAAAATAATTTTGTTGGACTATCAAAATAATTATGTAGACGTTCAAATTAGTTGCTAGAATATCAAAACTTTTTGCAACATTGTTCATCATACTTGAAATTCCTATGTTGATATTTGGATGGTCTATCAAAGTTATTTTCAGACTTTTATGTAACTAAATTTTTAGACACTTCAACAAAATTATTCTTTCTATGCAGAGCCATCTGTGTACGTTGTTGAAGAGCATCCTAAATAGAAATCAAATCTATTGGCTGTGTTATTAGAGAATTCGGTTACTTGAATACTCTGCACTAATGTAAAATCCATACTAGACTAGAAATTGAAGTTAATGATAAATTCGATTACTTGTACTACATTGGATTAGTACATATTGAGGATTGTTTTATATAAATTTTTTTTTAAATTTATTTAAATGCAGTGGCATAATACGTAAATTTTTGTCAATAAAATAATATAACGGGACAATATTATTCGGCATTTAATTCTTTTAAATATTTATATTTAATTTTACATTTAATTTTGTTAATCTGATGTATAATAGTTTTTGCTTAGTCTGTACTAATTTAGTGTAATGCGAATGGTCCAATTTGTTATAAGATTGGATTAGAATTTAATCAATCAAAAGAAAGAAAATAAATCTCAGGTTTAGCTTTGCTTTGATTGCTTAAATTTCAATCCAATCTCCAACTCTAGGATCTACTTAACGTTGCAAATGCTTTGAAACATTTGTGATTAGTCAATTCGTAAAATTCTTTCTTTTGATTAATCAACGAAGCATTTACAGAGTTAACTGAATCGCGTCTTTAGTCTACGGGCATAAGATTACTTTAGACCTGTTCGTATTGCTTGAAATTTCTAAAAATTTTACACTTAAAAGTCGGGAGGAGATACTTGTGTGTTGACTGTCGAGGAGTCGCGACGATTTTGTGAGTACTAATTATCAATTAGCTGAAAACTAATTTCTCCGAGAGGGAGATTGCGATCTTTGGTTAATTGGTCTTTATGAAGACAATGAGAAATTGCGAAACGTATCGTTCACATCTTCACGTAACTATTCGTCTTTTGAAGACAAGAAAAAAATAATCAAACAGTCTTATATAATAGAATATATATATCCATAACCTAAGAAATTATTCGCAATAATTATACGTCGCCGATTTCGAGTTGTAATAGTGCCGGTATCACTGGCATCGATATACTGCATACAACGGTTTCCCTGCAAGTGTTTCTCCGACACCGGTTGTCCTTTCTCAGCGAGGTATAATAAACTGTTGCGTCACCGTGACTTAAAGAGATTCCCACCTCACTCGTACTAAATTCAGTTGCAGTTTGCCGTATTCTGCAAAGTTAAATGGCTAATGTTTCTTTGCTTGTAATAAGACACGCATGTGTCTTATTACAGACAATATCTTGGAGCGCTTGTAGAGAAAACAGCAATTAGACGTAAACGTTCACAGCGATGCTTGACAGCACTATTTTCAAAATGCATCGTCAGACGAATCCTTTTCGATCGTTGCTCGAATCAACGGTTCTCTTCTGAATCAATATTCTGTATCGCTCGGTCGTGCTGCTCAGGTTCGTCGATCGAATCGACGAAAACGTCGAGACGCGGTGAGAATGGTACAAAGCGCATCGTCACTCGCATCGTTCGCAAGACTACGACCTTAACACGCGGTGAGGAGCGTAGCGCTACCGAGGACCTCACCAAACGTGCCCATCCTAGGTATTTGCAGGATGCTAGCTCGGCGACGATGACCGTAAGCCGGCACGTCCCAACGAAACCGAAAACTGTGCGGGTAAGCCGATCTTGCGTGGAAAATTGCATTCTGAACGATTCCATCTTTTATTACCACTATTATTTATTGCCACTAATGTAGATTAACTTCAATAGTTCAACTCATCGTTCAACTCTTAGTTCAACTCACTCTTCATCTTTTTTCAGTTCTAAGAGTTAAAGAAAGATGAAGAATAAGTTGAACCGAGATTAAGTTAATCTACGTCGACGGAAACGGACATTATACGGAAAGAATGATGAAAAGGTACTGCAACAATTGAAGTATTTTAAAATTTAACTAGATACGGATTTGAAAATGATTTTGTTTGAAATTTAAGCTATCAGAATTGTTTCTGCTGTGATACTCACATTAGATTTTGAAAATAGACTTTCGCTGTCTAGAGATCAAACAGCAAAAATTTTTATATTTTTGAGCGAATTTTATTTAAACAGTTCATCAAAAAACAGTTCTGCACAAACTTTATCTTATTTTAATAGCAAACTTATGACGGTAGTGGAAAGGTAAAAAATTATGCATTGACAGAAGAGATATTTATGTAGGACGTTGAAACTAGTTACTAGAATATTAAAATTTTTAGCAGCATTTAACGGCATTGTCATCATCGCTTAAGCAATTATCCTATACATATAATTATTTTAACGATCCAACAAAATTATGTTCAAATCTGCATCTAGCTAAATTTTTAAATACTTCAGCAAGACTGTTCTCTCCTTATACCATTAAAGTGCTGTCATATTGAAGAAGATTAATATCGCGACAATTGATAGATCGAGCTATATATCATCGAAAAGTCTTTTCGAAGACTGACAGATACCTAGCGCATATGGCTAAAGATAAGCATGGTGATAGACATTTCAAGCAGCAGAGAGATTTGCGTTGAAACTCGTGGAAACGTCCGACTTAACTCACGTCCGAAAGAAACGCTCTCTCTCTCCCATCGCAACGGATGCGTCGCCTTAATTAGGATTAGTGAGTGGATAAGATACGTTTGCTTCGGTCTCATAGTTCCATTACCGTTTTACTTAATCCGTTACTTCACCCCTGCAATTAACCCGTGAAAGAGACAGTATTTTTCTCATGTCGCGCCCAAGCTGTGGTTCTGTCGTGTTAATCGGCGGCACGAAGAATGAAACTCTGCGAAAAAGTGGTTTCTACTTATTTGTCGTTACCGCTTTCGACGTTACTCAATCGTGACGGACGAGATTTGCCGAGATTTGACGAAATGTTCTTTAGACTGGAGCCGCGTCATATATCGCCGACAATGTTTATTGGACGTGTCTTCGATACTTCGTCCAATATTTGATAAATCAAATTACGTGACGATCAAAGGATTTGCCTGAGTATCCTCCTTGCAACCTGTTGCTGCAAATTGCGTAGGCTGGGAAAACAGATGGCATGGCCGCGGGGACGGCCTATCGAAATAGCGCATATCTCGTACGCGCGAGCGCGAGAAAACCGCGTGATGACCCGAATACTAATGCCGGCTTTTATCAATGCCAATGGCAACGATCTCAAATGGTCGCGATCTCGATTTACGTCTCGGTGCCAATGTCAAGTCCACTGCAAGTGGCATAATTTGTCTCTATTATTTCACTACTTGAGCGAGTTTGGTAGCCAGCCAGGCGAATGAAGTGCTTTCATCGTTAAACGTCCAGGAGAGATGAAGTATGAAGCCTCATAAATATCGCGGTTATGAGAATTGCTCCTGCATAATTATACAACTGGAGATCTTTTAAAATTTAACAAAGAAAAACAAGCGCAGAAGGCCATATTTTATTGAGTCAAAGCGCGTCTTGACGCATAATAATATTTTTGTGTGAATTTTATCATTTTTAATTTAATTAAAAAAAAATATGAGTAAGACGTGGCTAAAAATAGGAGAAAAATGTTTATCGGAATTTGCATCTTTGAATAGAAAAGATTTGTGTGATATTATTATTAAAATAATATTTTCTGAATGATTTTATTCATAACAACTGCATCAATAGACAATTTTCTGAGCCGATATTTTTACGTACGTTAAAATTGACTTTTCGTTCAATGAACTTCACGTAAACGTAAAAGTAAGTTAGGTAACAACAGCACGTAATTTCTGATAATTCGAGTGTATGTAAGCCGGAAAATACAGGAAGAAGATCTTTACTGGAGCGATATAATATGTATCTATACACGAGATAAGATAATCCTTTCAGTTGTGACGTGAGAACTCGATTTCTTATCCCAAAATAGACAAGAAGACACATTTACATGACGCAGCGTTCCGTGTTTCTAGAATTATTTTGTTAATAGTTGACTCATTGTATTACTGAAACAAAATTATTGTATACCGCGATAATTAAAGACTTAAAAAAAGGATAAAGAATAAAAACAATTAAAATATAAATGCATTATCCGATTTTAGTGGTGTGATAGAACAATTTCATTTACAGATTCATTTTCAGTGACAAAAAATAAGAATCACTTTTTCGTGGTCTAGAAAAAAAAGTTTAAATTTGTCTGACAGTAATATTACTTTATAATCGATATTCGTATAATTGATTTTTATATTTAAAACTGTTTTAAGTAGATACAATCTTACGCTATCATAAACCAATCAAAGAGCTGTATTAGCATTTTAAGACATTATTTAAGACCGTCTTATATAATAAGAATGGATTATGAATATCGATCTAAAATCAATTAATTCTGTGACCAATGTTCTCCCGGCGCCGGCCGTTAAGCAAAATGTCAATAGTTCTTGAAAGGTTGCAGCTTTCAGTTTTCATCAACGTTCAACCGAGAAAATAGAACTATGGAAGGTTGCAAATACGTATTACATAACGCGCACAAGTTAGTCAAACCGGTATATAGTACTGATACGTAACTTTCAAATGTAGCAGTGTATGTTCATCGAGTGTTACTAATTAAAGGTTTTAAAGACTGCTATTCTTCAAGAATTTCCCGCTTTAGCTTGAATAATCGTAGCGAACATAATACCGTAACTGTTTCCGCTATTTGTTGTAACAGCGGCACCCGAAACGTCATATGAAATGATACATCGAAGGGCGAACCAGAATCTATTTATTTCCATGCTGTATATTTTAAAAAATATTTATTTTGTTATTATATGTTTTAAGAAAATATTGTATATCTTCAAGAAAATCTAATCTCATTCTTTTCTTTCTCTTTTTCTAGATATCGGACATAGTGGTCGGTCAGGAACCGAACGTGACGGCGCGTGAGGCCCTTTTGAGATGGGCTCGACGATCGACAGCCCGATATCCTGGAGTACGGGTGACCGATTTCACCTGTTCTTGGAGGGACGGTCTGGCTTTCAGTGCTCTTCTCCACAGGAACCGGCCGGATCTGGTCGATTGGAGAACGGCGCGTGCAAGCCAGCCGCGAGAGCGGCTCGATCGGGTCTTCTTCGTCGCCGAGCGCGAGTACGGCGTTACGAGGCTTCTCGATCCAGAAGGTAACGACCGATTATCGAGTTAGTTAAGCCCTAATTGTTTCAATAAAGAAATATATAAACGAAAAAAAATATGTAAATATATAAAATTAGACTGACGAGAGTAAGTCAATTAATAGAATAATTATATTTTTGGTCAAAAGAAAAAATTGTCAATTTGTCGACCAACGACTGATTGTTACCCTCATCGTGATTTGTGCATCGTGTAAATTCGAGGTAGAGAAATACTGTGATGTGTGTTTGTGTCACATGTTTTTTTTATCGTCGTGTTATCTTGGGCCGCTTTTGCGGTTTCTCATCTTACAAAGACGTCTTTCATGGATATAATCCTACCTGGATTTCTCTCGTTTATGTATGCCCGGTGCGTGATGTACAGTTCCCGCAGGTTCTGGCATAGTGACAGTGTGCGTTCTTTCTGGTCACGGTTACCTGACCAGAATCGCTTCCGGTCTCGATTCGTACACCGTAACGTCGCGCCATCGGTAGTCGTCGTAATTATGCTTTCTATACTTGCGTCTTACAGGTATCTGACATTGGTATCAGGTTGCAAGGAAAAGCGAAATGTATCTGCGGATAATATGTCCATAATTCGATACGACTTGGATAGATTTTCCTGGATTTGTTTAGTAGAGATGGATAGATAACATCCGAAGTTTTAATCTTTTTATCGTTAATTTATTAGCGTTAATAATAAAATTATTCTTGTTTTTAAGATAGTATTAAAAGATGATAAATTGAGAATTTAATTCTTGATTAGCGGATTATTTGAAACCGAAGCGAAAATTTTTGGATGATAGTACAATCTGTGATTAGTATTATAAGGTTCTAAATCGTAGATAAAAAAAACTTTGAACTTTCTTCTATCAATCGCCGTAAGACTCATTTGCATTCCGAAGTTTACTTGCATTCTGTATTTTAAACAGCTTTAAAATTTATATGTACTTAATTTTCATAGCTTGGGTAGAGTTTTCGTAGCTGTAGTTGAGAGTTAATAATAATTTTGTTAAGAAAATTAGAAATAATTTATTACACTCGCATACGTTGCGTGACTTACGCAAAGATTCTTTTGTATTCTGTACAGATGTTGATACCCCCGAACCGGACGAGAAGTCCTTGATAACGTACATCTCTTCGCTCTACGACGTGTTCCCGGAGCCGCCGGCCATTCACCCTCTGTACGACGCCGAGGCGCAAAGACGATCCGCGGAATATCGTGAACTTGCGACCTCTCTTCATATGTGGATCCGCGAGAAGATGGCCCTCATGCAAGAGCGATCTTTCCCGCCGACTCTGATCGAGATGAAGAAACTAGCGGCGGATAGTACGAAGTTCAAAAATGAGGAGGTACCGCCACGATACAGAGACAAACAGAGATTGACATACATCTTCCGAGATCTGCAAAAGTATTTCGAAGCAGTAGGCGAAGTGGACATGGAACCAGAATTACATATTGATGTTATCGAAAAGAATTGGAATCGCCTAATAATGTTGCATCAGGAGCGCGAGCAGGCTATTATAGACGAAATTAAACGGTGAGCTTAATTATTATAATATAAATTAAGTATTTATGTATATAAATAATATGAAACGCATATGTCGCACATTTGTCTGATAGAAACGTAATACAATAAAAAAATTTTTTTGAAATAAGAAAAATCAATTTTCTATTCTTTGTTGGAAAAACATAAAACATTTGTGACACTCTTCCAATTTGCCGCTAGAGATATTATATGCATACTCATGTATTTCTGAATGTGTCTTTGTACGTTGATAGACTCGAGCGACTGCAACGACTCGCCGAGAAAGTGCATCGTGAGATGAAAACGACTGACAACAGATTAGAGGAGCTTGAGAGACGTGTGGAGGACGAAGCACGCAGGCTCGATCGCCTTCATCCTTTGGAAGCGAAACACGCAGTGGACTTACTGGAACAGGACATACGCAGTACGGAAACCCAGATACAGAATATATTTACCGATGTGCACACCCTTACGGAGGGTAGATACAGTCAGGCGCCTGAGCTTCATAAGAGGTAAAATATTGATTTTTATTCTAGGAATTATGATGAATTAAAATTTCATACTCTGCACTGAGAAAAAAATGTATTAAATTTTAATAAATATTTATTTGAATAGTACTTAACATTTACGTAAATAAATATTTATTAAATAAAAAAAAGTAATTAAATCACATACATTGGTTTTTATACAAAAAATAAGTATATATTTATTTTTAGTAAATATTTATCTAGTATTAAAAATAATATTTATAAAAATTTAATACATTTTTTTCAGTATGGAATATCGATATGTAAAGAATCATTCATGTGTAACGTGCATGCCGCCTCCATTTTCAAATACTAATTACATTGTTTCCACTCTCGTAATCTTTGCTAATGAGTGAAATATTAGCGCGCTTTCCATTGCCAGTAGCTTTCGAAAATTAAGTTATGCACGTATCGTGTTTAGTGACTTTCCAAAGATCTTAGAACATGTTTGAATATCTTGTTAAACTTGACAAAATGGCCTTTATCCTCCAAGTTTAGTATATCTTGACATGTCTTTAAAATAACTAAATAGCTAATAATTTGTTGGTACAGTATTGAATGACGCTTTAAGTTAAAATAATTAAATTTAATGTAACACTTATTGATAAAACATATGTCTATTTGTTTTAGAGTACAGAAATTGCATCAAAGATGGGTTGTACTACGATCTCTTCTGCATAGGCGTCTGGTACAACCTCTCTCTGCGGTTTCCTTCCCTGTGGAGGAACGTGTTGTCACGAAACACCGCACTACCGTCCATGAAACACGATTGGTTGATACCAATCCACACTTCCGCGCATTACACGATTGCATAGATTGGTGTAAGAGCAAATTGAAACATCTACAAGAAGCTGATTACGGATCGGACTTGCCTAGTGTGCAAAATGAATTGGATGTACATCAACGAGAGCATAAGAACATCGATCAATTCAAAGCCAAGGTCGACAAGTGCGTGCAGGCAAAGAACAATTTTCATGGCGAGGAACTCACGTTGTACAGTCAGCATCTTAACACTCTGCAGAAACTTTATGCCGAGCTTCTTAACATATCGAATAAGAGGCTTTCTGATTTGGATACCCTACATGATTTTATACAATCGGCTACTGGCGAATTGGTTTGGTTAAACGCCAAAGAAGAAACAGAAGTCACGCGCGATTGGAGCGACAAGAACCTCAATGTGCAGAGCATTGAACAATATTACGAGGTTAGTCATTATCGAGCAACTCTTTTTTTTTTTTTAGAGAAGTGATGAAAGTCCATTTTGCGGTTTTTAAGATCTATAAACTGATATATATGTAATCATATCTGCGTTATCTTTACAATATATGGTACATGGCTCTTATTTAGTTGAATGGGATTAAATTGAAAATCTCTTCTTTTTTTTAAGCAAACATATGGATCTGGTGTAGAGGTAAAATATTCAATGAAAACACTTATACTTTTTATTCTGATTTAATTTTATTAGATATTCTTATTTCAATTTTTTACTTATTATAAACGTATCTATAGATTATTATAAACTATAGATTATTATATTAGGTGTTGGAATTAATTCGTAGCGTTTTTTAATGAAAGAATGTTATTTATTTCACATGAGCATTAAAAAATACATTAATGAAAGTACTTCCCATCACTTGTAAAACGCTACGAATTAATTCCAACACCTAATATATTTATATAATAGTATCTATATAGATTATTATAATCTCGTATCTATAGATTATTATTATATATTTATAGATTTGAAATTTTTAATAAATTTTATATTTTACGTTATAAGTATTAAGATATTATTTATTTGCAGTCTTTGATGAGCGATTTGGAGAAACGTGAGATACAATTTTCGGCAGTGCAAGATCGTGGTGAGGCACTTGTTCTTCAGCATCATCCTGCAGCAAAAACGATCGAAGCTTACATGTCCGCTATGCAAACTCAGTGGGCTTGGTTATTACAACTCACTCTCTGCCTTGAAGTACATTTAAGACACGCCGCGCAAAACCAGCAATTTTTCAAGGAAATTCAACAGGCCGAACAGTGGATCTCCAAACAGGATGAAACGCTGAATACCGTTTACTCGCAATCCGATTTCTCATTGGACGAAGGAGAACGGCTTTTGAAGGGCATGCAAGAGTTGCGCGAGGAGCTTAATAATTATGGTGATCACGTACAGAGACTCGTGGAAAGAGCAAAGGACATCGTTCCTATGAAGCAACGCAAACAACCAGTTATGCGACCGTTACAAGTCACTTGTATCTGTACCTACAAACAAGTCAATGTGAGTATTTCTTAATGCGGAGAAATAGAATACACTGCATTTAAATATATATATTTCTCATTTATTTCATTTGTATAGATGTCTATCGAGAAAGGAGAACAATGCACGCTGTACGATAATTCCGGTAGAGTTAAATGGCGCGTCAAGAACACGCAGGGAGTGGAATCTCCTGTACCAGGTGTCTGCTTCGCACTGCAACCTCCCGATAAGGAAGCATTGGATGCTGCGGAAAGATTGAGACGACAATATGACAGAAGTGTTGCTCTCTGGCAACGAAAACAATTGAGACTAAGACAAAACATGATATTCGCGACTATCAAGGTAGTCAAGGGTTGGGATTTGCCGCAATTCTTGGCGATGGGACAAGATCAACGTACAGCTATCAGAAAAGCGCTGAATGAAGATGCAGATAAGTTACTATCCGAAGGAGATCCGGCGGATCCACAACTCAGAAGATTGAAACGCGAGATGGCGGATGTTAATCGACTGTTCGATGATTTCGAGAAGCGTGCCAGAGCCGAGGAAGAATCGAAAAATGCTGGACGCATTTTCAACGATCAAGCGTCTTCGCTTCAGCAGGCACTCGACGAAGCCGAGCGAGTATTGAACGCGCGCATAGCCGCGCCTTTACCTCGAGATCTTGATAGCTTGGAACATCTCGTATTGCAGCACAAAGATTACGAGCAGAATCTACAACGCTTGGCGCCGGACGTGGAACAAATGCAACAGACGTTCCGCGGAATCACTCTGAAGACTCCGGCGATGAGGAATAAACTTGATAATATCACGAGCAAATGGAGTCACTTGTGGAATCTTAGCAGCTTGTATGTTGAGCGCTTGAAGTGTGTTGAGATTGTGCTGTCCAGCCTTGAAGAAAATACGACGGCAATCTCCGAGTTTGAAATTAAATTGGCCTCCTTCGGCGAATTACCATCGGACGTAAAGGGTTTGCAAAGTGTATTGGAAGATCTGATGGTTCTTCAGAATGCTATCGCACAGCAACAAGTGTCAATAGATCAATTGAATGAAGATGCGCATAACGCCAGACGTCTTGTAGAGAAATCAAGGCCGAATCATCGAGGTCCGCACGGCGACATGGACAGATTGGACGCTGAGGTTAACAAACTAAACGCGCGATGGACGAACGTCTGTGGTCAGCTCGTCGATAGATTACGCAGTGCCGAAACAGCCTATGGATTGGCGCAGCAGTATCAAAACTCGTATCAGAACGAGGTGGACTTTGTCGATGACTCATATGGAAAATTAGAGCTGGAGAACACGAAGGTAGCGTGAACGATTTCGACAATTTTATGCTTTCTTGTCAATGAGATTGTTAAAATAATTTTTATGGATTTAGAACTTGTTGAGCAAGGTGTTGGATCGCACGCCGGCAATCGAAGCGGTGAATCTCACGGGCGGTAGATTGATCCGTGAAGGGAAGGTGAGAAAACGTGGATCGTAATGTATAATTCGGTGCTAGTAAGCCTTATAGGTAGCCTTAGCTTACGGTGTGAATGCTTGCATGAATGAAATTCTGCGTGTCTTACATACAGGTCTCATCACAATCTGTTGTACGCGCCTCGAGGTTGTCAGAAATTATGCACGCGACGAATCTTTTTTTCATTTAGCATTTCGTCGGAGCGGCCGCTTTTTCTGGAGTATCGAGCAAGCAGTAGCAAGACGCATCAAGACGCGTTGCATCTGCTGTATATAAACATGAATGTTCCTTTACAGTCAAATTTGTGCTGCTGTCTTTTTCCATCGTCTTCTCGGGGATGTGTCTCGTCAATTTTATAACGGTAAAAATTCTCTATTTGCGTCCCGGGCCCAGTGCCATTAAACGGTACAAACCATCTTAACTGCCATTCATTAAGTAAATATACTCACTTATATAACACAGCGGGGACGATACGATCTACAGTCAACGCGCATTTGTAATATCACTGGCCTTTCTCTCCTTTTTAACTTCAATAGCAACCTTCTTGTTAACACAGTTACATCAAAAGCACGGTTGAATGAGCTGCACGACCTCGTTTAGCGGCGATTTAGTGTCGATTTTTAAATGTTAGATATTGCATATCGCTTAAGTGCTTAACATAATATAATTGACATTTCCCCGAACCGTTGCAATCGCAGATAACCCAGTGAGGTATAGCATGCGCAGCAGCGAGGTGGAACCTGACCGATTAATACGTAGGAAAGTTCGCAAAGATAACGAGTACTTCTAATTATATTTCGGCATGAATTAGACATATTTCTGCTCTTTACCAATATTAATTGTAGCGCGATCATTAATCGCTGGTTATCTTTAGCGCGACTATGAAGTAGTCCCAAAATTATTCCAAACGCGTTTAGATTAACGTATTACTTACCCACGAGAGTAACCGGCAGCTACCATTAACGCATCTGTTTACCGGAAATACCACATTGGGTTGTCGAAAAATCAGAAAGATCATGGCGTAAGCCGCGCGGTAACACCTCGCGCGGCGGTCTCAACGCCTCCGTCTCTCGCTGTCGCTTTCGGAATCGCTAACGGTAATTGCCGCACACACACACACACATACACACACACACCGATCGAATTACACTAACCATAACGGACTAACCGGAAACCCTTAGATCTACGGACAAAGGCTCCGAGCGTTCAAAGAACAATTGGAAGATATCTGCCCGTCGTTGGACGCATCGGTGAAGAGGCCACGGAGAGATTCCGTTATTACAGTCGATAATGTTGCGCGCGATCTAGATATCCTGAATCGAAGATACACGACTCTCGTGAATCTGCTTGAGGAGCGAGTCAGGCAGCTGGCATTACTACATCCTGAGGACACTTCCTTACAGGTGAGTTTTTGCATTGTTTTTCTTCTGCGATCTTGAGATTGCACCTTTGATATTAAACTGTATAATATGTTTCCGGTAGAAATAAATATGAGCAATTCTTGGATTCTTTGGTAGAAGGAAAATAACAATTCTTTAAAGGCTTCTGTTTACTCACCACTACTATCTCAGATTATGACATCATAATCGATAAAATATACAATAAAAATTCTTGCAAGCTATTATATAATATGTATAATATATATAAATTATATAATATAATGTGGAAATAAATTATGTATAAACAAAAACAAAATAAGTTATGTTTACAGTCGTGACTTAAAATAATGATATATTAGGTGTTGGAATTAATTCGTAGCGTTTTACAAGTGATGGGAAGTACTTTCATTAATGTATTTTTTAATGCTCATGTGAAATAAATAACATTCTTTCATTAAAAAACGCTACGAATTAATTCCAACACCTAATATATAGAAACAAATATAATTTAATTTCTCCCCGGAATAAGAAGGCAGATTTTCATATATTTTAGAAATCTATTCTAATTGCAAATATTATTTTATTGAAAAATATTTTTATTTAAATATTATTTGCAAAAATTTTTATTCCGTGTTTTCTCACATTTGATGTCATAATCTAGGATAATAATGATGAGTGAATAAGAGTCTTAATACGTCGTTCGATATTTTTTTTTTAGAAATTTCCATTCGTTACATAGAATATTGTAAATTATTCGTTGAAGTTGTTCTTCAGGAAAATATACCATGATCCGACATATGCAATTTTTTAATCACTTATTGAGCAATTGAGGCAACTTAAAGGGCCGCAGGCGAAATGCCGCTGGATATTTTAGATTAGATTTAACCTTCGCCACGTGTGGTGTGTCGAAATGTGAACGGAATTAATACTGAACTACGACAAGGCCTACAAATTGCTGATGGGCATACATCGAGAATTCACGAAGTGGATCCGCTATTAATCCTTGATCGTAACACTTTGGTGTTTGGTGAACAGTTCATCATCGCGCGATAACGAATTAGAATCATTTCTAATCACGCGAAGGTGATTTACTACGTCAAAGTTGCTTGGGATACGAATTTCGCATCGATTCCTCGCACACAGTGACAGAAGACGTTAATTTTCATTTAGTAAAGAAGTAGTAACGATGTTAGTATTAGATACGGCGTATGTTTTCCTATTATACGTATGCAAGTAAAACACTTTTTAAATAGAAGATAATAAATGAAATAAATATATTGAAATAAATATTACTCAGGTATATATACATATATATAAAAACACTTCATTGAGTTATGTGAAATAAATTTATGAGATAAATGTATGAAATATATTTATCTCAAAATAAGATAAATTTGAAATAAATTCGAGATAAATATATAAAATAAATATTACTACAACAATAACACAACTCAAAAAATGAAAATAAGTTCGAATATTTTGAACCATTAAAATTTTGTAATATTAATTTTGAAATGCAATTTTGATATAATAATTAATTACAGAAGAATAAAATTACGTTTTTCCTTTTTCCTTTATATTCCCGTTCTTTTTCTACAAGAAATTCAAATTGACAATTTCTGAGTTGTGTCGTAATTGACGTCCATTTCTATCAATGTAAATCAACTTTAATCTTAGAATTTATTCTTTATCTTTTTCTAATTCTTAAAACTGGGGGAAAAGATAAAGAACAAGTTAGCGAGATTAAAGTTAATCTACATTGGTAGAAATAAACATGAGCAATATATGTATACATTAGATAAATGAAAGTAAAAGTGCGTTCAGTTTTCAACGTGCTCCCCGAAGGTTGCATGTGACAAATTCGATTGAAAGACACGCATGTGGGCTTTTTGATACGAAACTAGGGAGGCGTATCCTCCGAGAAATGACTCGATCGAGATTCCTCGGCAACCGCGTATATGACATAAGCTGAAATTAATGAGCGGCAATGAACGAGCGCTCTCATGTCGAGAATCCGTATGTGTGCCCACATCTCCCGCAGGTATAATTATATTCGGAATGACGACGACATCAGAAATAGCGACTATTTTTCTCGGTACCATTACGATGCCTCGCCAGGCATCGCGTATGAGCCGGAAGGTGTGAATACATTTTTTTTTTGTATTAGTTTTTTTTTTATTGCGACTGGTTCGCGTACGTTCGTCATCGTTGTCGAGATTGCTCGCTATCACGTTTGTCACGCTGATACCTCGAGGTCGGTCGAGATCAAGCGAAATAGTCGTTTTAACACGCGACCGACTTTCGCCTTCGATTAACGGCGGCTTTTCATCTTTCCCGCTAGTCGTGTCGGTCTCGTGCGAGGATCGATAGACACGAAGCAGCGGCACGAAAAAGCAGTGGCGTTTACACCTGTTGAGGCCCCTCAATGTGTTGGACGATTATGTTAATTTAAGCTGAAAAATGAAAACGAATACACGTCTGTTAGGCCCGTATCAGACTAGAGATTGAAATTGAGATTAGTTTGGAATAATAAGTAATTAATCACTTTCTTTCAGTATTAAATTGATTAATATTGGATTTCTGTAAAAGCAGAGTTTTACTTTCACAATTTTTTTTCTCGATGTCTTCTCGTCACGTTATTTTTTTGAATGTTTTGCTTTGACAATTAAAATTCTCAATTTTGATTTGCAATAAAGCAGTTAGAAAACATGATACATGATTTTACAAATAAATTGCAAATTTCTGTTGTGACGAGCGCCAAGATTGAACGAGAGATAAGACCATCGGTCTTGGGAATATCCTTGATTCTTAACGCATCGTTTATCATCGCGATATAAGCAGTGTATTTACGATTCCGAGGAGTACTCGCGTGTGACCAGAAATATTAAACGAGCTACGAACGACTCGCGTCAGCTAGCAATTGCCGAAAATGCAAAATAGGTTTCGCCTTGAAAGTGAAATGAAGCCGCAGTCGAGATTACGTAATCAAAATTAATGACGGTCGTTCAGAAATTCACTCGTTGAATCGAGCGAGGTCGATTTTTGACGACTCGAGAGGAGAGTCCCGGGGTCTTAGAACAGCTTGAACGAACTGCCAGTTAAGCGCCCACGCTTAAACGCGCCACTGGACCGGGATGTGCGTCGGCGCCACCACTCGCGTCTCCTCCGAGGGCCAGCGTCATCGAAAGAGAGAGAGACGAGTCACCGCAGTCAGAGACTGTCGGTTGCGCGGCTGACCGTATGCTCGTCGAGCATGCTCCTCGCCGGTCGCGTAAACGATTAGAGACGTCGTCGTCGTGAACGATAGGAACGCGAAAGCGATTTCGTTCCGACGTGCTCTGATGAGCGATCACGATGATCGTGCGAAAGGTACGAAAGGACGGCGCATATCGCGAAGGGACGGGCGTCGCGTGCTCCGGAAACGAGATAACGCCGGTACCCGTCAGTGAAATCGGATACCGTCGGATATCGGCGGTTTCAAACGTGTCAGAAGCAAGTGACAAATTGACAAGAGATTGATTATGAAATAATTTTCGCAGCGAGACGTGCGTTCTTGAGGATGACGCCCATGGGATGTCGATCCAGTCACATGTTGGCAACAACAATCGTGAAACTGCACGTTGACTTTTGTCCATTTCTACTAATATAGATTAACTATAATTTCGGTTTTATACATTTTATCTTTTTCTTATTTTTAAAATTGAATAAAGATACAAAGTTAAATTGAGATTAAAGTTAATCTAAAGAAATGGATATTTATCGCATTCGCGATTTTAATAAGTGGAAACCGCGGAATGAAGTTCTTAAGTCTATTTTGTTATTTGAGTATTATTTAATTATTTGAGTTTTTGTAATTATTGTAAAATTTGACGAGATCTCTTGCTGTTAGTTAACATATGCCAAAATGAGTTGAGGCGTAATCATGTGTGTGTGGAATGTTTCTTGCCTTTTGTGGTCTTCAAAGAGGTGATGGATTTGCTGCAGATTCTCTATAAACTTACTGTCCAGAACTTGACACGTTTGAAATCATTTTTTATTTAATAACATGTTTTATAACTTACACTTTCATAAATGCGTTTTTTAAATAATAATACGAGAGAGAGAGAGAGAGAAAGGGTAATATTATGTTTTAAATTCTGAATAATATAATTTCTTAATAATAACTTTCTTGTCATTCAAATGTATTCGTACACCAAGAATGACATCAAGATTATGTTTAAGGAACTCTTTGACGAACATTATTTGTCATTGTTTTTTATGATGCTCTGAGTACATCTGGCGATATTTTTTACTATCCTATTTCCATTAAAAATAATCGAAAGCCACTTGCTTAATTCAAGTATTCGAACGTGCACTCGAATAAATGAATCTCGTGACCAATATTTATTATAAACACTAATATCTACTACTTTATTGCTGACATTCAAATTTATGAACTCACATATGCTACTTTATTGCCGACTTCTATGTTCGCGCTCGGATTTCAATGCGTAATGCAAATCTACTCTTATTTATTTAGTAAAATGAATCACCAGAAAGTTATCAATTTTTATTTACTTCGCGACATATATTACAGATTGAAGCTAAGTGATTCGTTCTTATCCCGAATTTAAATGAGAACAGAAATATTTGACAATATTAAATAAAATACCTTTAAATATATATTTAAGATTAATTTTTATTCGTATATATATGTATTAATTCTTACATATACAGAATGCAATATTCGTCAAACTTTTCGTCATCGTTCGACTCGTTTCTGATTATATCTTCTTATCGGTTCACCGTTGTACGACACGATTGATTAGGTACACCGTTCGGACGAAGTAAATACCGTACACTCATCGTATTTCTTATCGATAGCGCAATTTTATTGAAAATCGAATTTTGTAATCAGAAATGTCTACACGAATTAAACATACGTTTGGATTGCGTACATTTGCACTGCCTTATACTGCATTGTTATTTTTTCCGAAGTATCTTGCGTCTTTAAACTCGCCGTACCGACGTGCCTAATAGCGGATTCTTATTTTAACGTACAGAGTGACCCAGAAACAGTTCGATATATTTAAGAGAGTGAGAGAGAAAAAGAGAGGAGAGAGAGAGAGAGAGAGAGATCTTCTAGATTGGAATTTATTTCCGTGTTTAACATTTTCGGATCTTTTACTCTTGATAGTTCGTTTTAAAATATTTTAGGCTCCATCAAAATAAGATTAACTTTAATCTTAATTTAACTTACTGCTTATCTTTTTCCAATTCTTAGAATTAAAAAAAGATAAACAGGAAATCGAATCGCGATTATAAAATTAAACTACATTGATGGAACCAGCTTTAATCTTCAGTTATTTAAAATTCGAAAATTATGCTGATACTCTGCAAATAAAGCAACCGTCATCTTTTTATTTGAATTCCATTTATCGCAACAACGTAAATGCTTTTAAATTATTCTGCATGAGGAACTATATGCGTGTATCATGACGACGAAATTGCCCGACAATAAGACGCAACACTTGAAATATACCGTGTTTACATTATCTAGCCAAGTTGAATAATTTTTTTCTTTTTAGATTAATTTTAAGATATATAAGCGCGACAACGAAAGCAAGTAAATTAATTTTTCGTCAATATAACCGTGCAACTGGCATAGATCGATTGCCCGAAGGTTGTCGATCACACACACCAATTAAATATAATTCTTCTGATTAGATTTGCGATGCAAGTAAATTGGTTACGGGTTGTTGTTTCATGGTCATTCTTAATATTTCTTACATTCTTCGTTAATTTTATTTTTATTGGTATGAATTTCTTCATCCGTATAGCATAAATTAACGCTGTTAGCGTCATCAAAAAGATGAAGATGTTTGTTGATGAGTCTGGAAGATATTCAAATAAATTGTAGTAAATCACAACATTTTTTTACTTAAGCAATTTTGAGACACTAATTTAACTTCCTTTAATTTATTCTCACAGTAATAATTACGTCTCCAAATTCTTTCCAGATTTATAGTCAATTCGTTTTTTATCAAATATCTATGCAGCTATTTGTATCCTGTTTTCGATATTGGACGTAGCTGCTTAATTATTATCATATGCTTGTAATAAGATTTGTTGATTATGTACATATTAATAAAAATTTTGCATAATGTTTGCGTAACTGAATTATGTTTCCGAGATTTCAAGGTTCCCTTTATTCTTCGTTTCACATCAGATCGCACGTGTTCTCCCATGTCTTCTTGAGTTCATGAGTTGAAGATGGGAAGGACAGCATCTGTCTTCGCGATGACATAAGTAGATAACGTAGACCTACGCCTATGACTATGAAGCAAGCATCGCGTCTGAAATTATATTATACGTTTTGGTACTTATGATTAAGCCTCTCATTCGGAATTAGGTAATTAAAAGCAAGACGTGCGTCGCTTCGGATAAAATTTTGCGTAAGAGCGGTACGTTCGGCGCGTGCGTGAGCAATGCTATATTTAAGAATCCCCGTCTCGGCTGAAAGATTACGACGAGGCACGTGGTCCAATTATACGCTGGCCGCATGTAAACTTGTGCACCGTCGCGCAAGCTGACTCATTTAAATGCATGCGGGACGTCTGTTGACGATTACAGCGTGGCTGACGCGATTGTTAATCGGCTTTAGGAATCGAAGATCGTCAAGTTGACCCAGTTGTACCCAGTATCTTTAGAAGGACTTTAGAAGGTCTTACATTTTACATAAACAACTTTCGCGAATAGATTCATTAATCCAAGAATTAAATTTTATTTTAATGAAAGCTAGATATTTAAAATAGATATTTAAAATATAATTTAATATAATATTTAAAATATAATTTAAAATAATTTTATATTGAAAGTTACTTTTTAATCATGTTTTTAGCAGAGAAAAATTGAGACTGCATTTGTTTAAAGTCCATGAATTTTGAACATTGCGTTCATCAATGTAGAAGACAAATGTAAACATAAACATAAACACAAGATTAGACATTATACTTTCTGCAAGTCGCAAAATGTTTACTTTCAGCGTGTTCTTCAAGAACAAAGGCCGCTGCGGACGTTCCGCACAGAGTTCAACATATATGAAAGCACTACTAGCGAGGAGCGTTACACATCCACAACCACACACTACACTCAGTCACAGTGAGTATGATATGTGCTAAAAGTTAAAAGTATGATTTATTCGTACTCACAGTAGAAAAGTGTCCTCATCTGCTACATAGATTTCCACGATAGGAGCTTATTTTCCAATTATTTTAGATCGATAGTTAAGAAATGATGATTTAATCTTTTTTACGGGATTGAAGTGCGTTTCGATATAACGTTCACACTTCTCAATGGCTCTTGCCGCAGATATATCTCCGAGAGACATGAGTCCACCGAGACGACTTTCTCGAGCGAGACTTCGAAGAGAAGTTACAATGCGGAGCAAGCTATGTATCGTCCTAATGACGAGACCACCAGCCTGGGTGCGGTTCAGACCGACGGCGTCGGGGAGACGTGGCT